AAGAGGTAGAAAACAGAAGAGCTGGCCCTGAGCTCACCGTCAACTAGGAGACTAGGAAGCATAAACAGTTACCTGGACAATATTGCCACTTAATCAATTACTCCCCAATTCTGTGGCCTAAAGTAACAAGCAGCATTGGTTATTTGTGCTGTTACTGTGTGTGACTATGACAGCCCAGGCCCTGGAGGCCCTGGGTTGCTGCAGTGTCTGGAGTGGCATTCTCACTGCCTCAGCTGAGAGGGAGTGAGAGCCACTCTTTTTTTTTTTTTAAGATTTCTTTATTTTTTATTACAGAGTCAGATATGCAGAGAGGAGGAGGGACAGAGAGGAAGATCTTCCGTCTGATGATTCACTCCCCAAGTGATCGCAACGGCTGCTCTTACTCTTCTCCTGTACACCAGCTTTACTCCGCAGCAGCAGGATTCCACAGGAGAGCACCAGAAAGTGAAAACTGCAGATTCCTGAGGGCTCAGGTGTCATACCACTCCTGTCCCATTTCATTCATCCTAGCAAATCACAAGTCTATCTCATACAAAAGCAGAGGAAAATGGGCTCTACAGTACCACAATGCCCCCCAGTAAATATTTTTAATATCATTAAGTGAATATCACTAAGGAAAACATTTCATGAAGGAAAGGAAACATTTCATGATCACTACAAATAAAATGTTCAGGGCAGGTATTCAGTGTGATTAGGATGCCTGCGTCCCAGGATTAGCTGGGTTCACCGTCTGGCTAGGGGTTCTGATGCCAGCCCCCTGCTAATGCACCTGTGATAAACTGAAGTGCTGCTTTAAGAAGTAACTGGGCTTGGGCCACCTAGGTGAGATCCTTACTGAGGCCTCAGACTGTAGCTTTGGTCCCAGCTGGGCCCCAGCATATGAATTTGGGAAGGGGACCAGTGGATGTGTTCTTTTTTGGGGGAGTACACACTGTTTCTGTGTCTCCCAAATAACTAACTTTTACCTTATAAAGATGTCAACTCTTCAGGAAGACACATGTATGGACTGAGCACACCTTTGGGATTCCTAAATGGAAATTCTAATCCCCAGAGCCCTTATGAGAGACAGAAGGAGACAAGTACTCCATTTTTTTTTTTTTTATGTTTCATAGGAACTGTTCCTTATTGTATTTGGATATGCTGATATACAAATATTACTGTATTACAGCTGCCCAACAGCATTAAGGACAGTAGCATGATGCACAATTTGGACTCCAAGAGCAACAAGTCCTATCATGTGGCCTAGATGTGCAGTGGGCTACAGCACATAGTCTGTGGAAGCACACACTGGGATGGCTCGAAGTAAAATCACCTAATGACTTGTTTCTCAAAATGTCTGCCTGTTGCTGACACAAAATTGAGCTGATATATATCACGATCAAAAAACATTACACTGTCCAAAAGAATTTGTATGATTCCACTTACAATAAAATAGACAACTATTTATAGTTAGAGAAAAAAATCAACAGTATTCTCCAGGGGACCAGGTAGGAACAAGGATTAATGTATAGAACTGTCTAGGTCATGGCGGCATCCAAAAGAGTTTGAGTAACAGGTGTTTACACCTGTCAAAACTAACTGAACGTACGTATAAGATCTGTACAAATAACTGTACAAATAGTACAAATAGTAAAGACAAATCTTCAAGCACCAAACTCTTCTGACAATGATATACCTATTGGTAAAGATAGTGAACCTGCAATAGATGGCTGAAATTTACATTGACAAGCACTAAAAATTGGTTCACAGATTGAGAAACAACAGCAGAGATACGTAATAGAACCCACACAGCAACATAATTTATGTAAGCATTCCTCTTTGTTGAACAGTTTGCTTGTCATCAATTTTTCCCTTAAGAGCTATAAATTTGATATCTTACAGTCAATTTGTTCACTAAGTCATTTGCTTCCAAAGAGTGGGATCATTAACTTAAAAGAAAAAGATACATAACTTGTACATCTTTCCAAGAAAGAGTTCTACATTAATATTTTTCTAGGGCCCAGCGCCGTGGCCTAGCGGCTAAAATCTTTGCCTTGAACGCGCCGCGATCCCGTATAGGCGCTGGTTCTAATCCCGGCGGCTCCACTTCCCATCCACTTCCCTGCTTGTGGCCTGGGAAAGCAGCAGAGGACAGCCCAAAGCCTTGGGTTCCTGCAAACACGTGGGAGACTCGGAAGAAGTTCCTGGCTCCTGGCTTCGGATAGGCAGAGCACTGGCCGTTGTGGTCACTTGGGGAGTGAAGCACCGGACGGAATATCTTCCTCTCTGTCTCTCCTCCTCTCTCTACATATATATCTGACTTTCTAATAAAAATAAAAAACAAACCTTTAAAAAAATATTTTTCTAAAAAGGCAAACGGTAGCCTTTAGGAAAACACTAAGATAATCATGTCTGTAAGCAACAATTTCAAGTCTGGGAAGGCATTTAGGAGAGCAGTTCCTTTTTCCTGATGCTATATCAGATCCCTCTTAAATCCTAACAGAGTATTTGTTTGAAAATATAATCTAGGTCTTGCCAGACAATGATAAATACAAAGATTCCTCCTCCAGGCCTTAAGCATTCTGACTCATTTTCCTACCAGCAACTAGCTAGGCAGCAATTTAGAGCACACAGTACTTTTTTTAAACTAGGAACTACATTTATACAATCAAGCAGAGTCATGTTGAAAAACAAGAACGAATCAAGCAATCTCGGTAGGGTTGAATCTTTGCTGTGGTAAATATTATCCAGATCCAAAGGGGGGGGGGGGACCAACTGGCACCTCTGTTGTGTACTACATCACAACCCAAATCACTTGTCAATGAACTCCTTCTCTCTGTAATTCTTTCAAAGAAAAACAAAGTAAATCCTTAAAAATATATAGTATTTGCCTAAACTTTATTATATGCAGAAACTAAAGATTATGTTCTAATTGTGGAGAAAATAATTCAATTGACACATTCTCTTAATTTCACTGCTAGAAACTAAATGGGAAGTCAGAATTACATACTGGGATGCTGATTCAATTCCTGAGTGCCCACTTCCTTTCTAGCTTCCTGGTAAATGCACCTGGGAAAGCAGCAGACTTGAGCGTCCTACCATGCATGTGGGAAACCTGCACAGAGTTTCAGGTACCTAACTTCAGCTTTGCCCACGTAGGTGCATTTACCTTTGTCAGTTATTACTCACAAGAAAGTAAAATAAAAGCAGAATAAAAAGGAATGACAAGATTTCTGAAGCAATGTGAAAATAATCAGATGTGGAATAAAGTATGCAGAACCACAAACTTTGGTTGATTTTTAAGATCAGATAAAAATTTTACTTAGCCTAAAGAAAGAGATGCTATCTCATTTAAAACAAGCAAGGCCCTTTAGCGATATCTAGTTGGGTAAAAACCTGCTTGCGATTTGCTTCACTGCGTTCGTAACAGGAGTGCCCACTTTACCAAGAACGGATCCAATGACCTAATAACGATTTCCTGTGTTTCTTACACTACTGGTCGTGACTCCTTAATGGATCACAAATGGCATTTGCTCCAAATGAAAAGAAGTGGAATACAACATAAAATATCAAAGCAGAACACATGTAGTAAGGTAAAGTATAGCTTGATTAAACTTTTGATTTAGGTTTGTTTCTATGACAATATAAAACACACTTCCAAGTACATAGGGGTTGCAATTAACAACAACAACAAAAAAAACAATAAAAGTTACTCTTACATACAAGTTCCCCACTGGCCCTCCTCTAATTCTCTAATACACCACAAAAGTCAAACTCTGCACTATACCCAGAAAATGAAAAATGATCTTCATAAGTCAGGTACAGTTTATGTTCATCTATGCTTGATTTCACAAATCCTACAATCAAATTGCTTGAATTCAAATCTAAGTTCTACCATTTCCTGCGTGTATATGGCCTTGTAAAAATAATATGATTCACATTTTTAAAAAGATTTATTTATTTTTACATTTGTAAAATTAGGTTAATAGAATGTCCAGAACTGTGATAAAAAATAAGTACCATATACTGACATGTCTACTGTTAATAGAACTAAAGGAGTGCTTTACTAATATTAGAAATGTATCAAGAGACTTAACAGAGCATCTTGGATTTATTAACTTTGGGTGTGTATGTGTGTGTTGTTTTTCATTTCACAGCTTTCTTTCCGACTTGAACTTGCAATGTATATGTAATGTATATGCTTCCAAAGTAATATTTCTAATGTATAGCTTTTTGTTTTACATTTCTCTGTAACGTATTTTTATACATTATTCTAGGTGTTTGTAAAAGGAAATAATCCATGACTTGCTAAGACAAAAAAGGAGAGTGCGGTGCCCAGAGCTCCAGAGTTTGCACTTCCTAACTAGACTTCGTTCTTCTCACTAGGTCCTGGCACAGCCTTGGTATAATCATTTCCAGCCGTGAGAATTAAGGTGAACGGCCTGCTAGACAGTAAGTGGCCTTCAAAGTCTGTAGCCCTTCCTGTCACACAATGCATCCAAATGTTTTCCCCTGGTTGTCTCACACCAGCCTATCTTGATCTCCCAACCGGGACAGCAAACTTCTCCAAGGCGGAGTTGCACAAAACTTGAAGCACGCCTTTACTGCGGCTATTCAGACACATCCTTCCACACTGGCCGGGTGACGCGAAACTTCTTTTGATCTGGACTGTCCTCAAGGGACAGAGCCTTGCTCTTAAAAGAAAGAAAACTGGCACACAGACGACAAAGCGACTTTGAGAGCTGCCTAGTTCTCACTTTTTTCCTGAACACTCAGAACTGGAAAAAGTTCGAGTCTACAAGACTCGGCCCTTGCTAGATGTATCCCTGCAGTCAAGAAGGAACGGATTCGCACGTCCCCTCCCACGTCCCCCACCCCGACACCTCCAGAAAGGTAGTAAGGTGTGGGAGCACCACAGCCACGCCTCCCCCAGGTTGCCCCGTCACAATTCCCAGTTGTTCCCAGACCCCCCGCCCCGGCCTTCACCCAAGCACCATCAAAAAGCAATGCAAAGGTCTGACCTGCAGCGAAGTGCAGGGGCGAAGACTTGCGGCCGGCCATGTCCTTCGCGTTCACGTTGGCCGAGTCCACCAGCCTCTTGACCCGGGACACGTCCCCATTGCGACAGGCCTCCAGCAGTTCCCGCAGGGCCCCACTCACTGCCGGGACCCCAGTCGTCCCAGTTCCCAGTGTGGCGGTGTGGCTCACGCCGGCTGCCTCGGGGCTCTCCGCCAAGCTCGATCCCGGGGAGGACGGAGAGGAAGAAGAGGAAGAAGTCGGGGAAGAAGAGGACGACGGGGAATTGGCACTGCCGCCGCCGGCTGGATGGGGAGCAACCCCGACGGCCAACGAAGCGGAAGCCGCCGGGACGCCGGCAGCAGCGGCCACAGGACAAATGGTGCTGCTGCTGGTATTGCCACAGCTGCTACTGTCAGTTGTGTCCGGGGATCGGGGCCTGTCGGGCGGATCCCGACTGCCATCCCCCTCCGGCAGCGCTAGGCCGTGCCGCGGGGAAGCGAAAGGTGCCAGGCCGCCGGCCGTGGGGGAGGCTGGGGTGGTCGCTGGGGCCAGGCCGGGGCTGAGAGGCGGGGGCGGCGGCGGCGGCGGCGCCGAAGCCCCTGGGGCGGGCTGGAGCTGTTGTTGATGATGGTGGTGATGATGCTGAGAGCGACGCGACGCCGCCATCTTCGGACTCCCCCAGCCCTGTCACTGCGGCAACGGCCCCACCGCCCGCCCTCACTTCCGACCACTGGGCCAATCCGCGCTCAGCGCACAGGAAATGATGCTGGCCGGAGGGGGCGGGTCGAAAAGAAGGAGGGAAGTGTAGGGAGCTTTGTAGAACTTCTGTGGCGGTAGGCGTGGCTTGTTGGTTGAGAGGCGTGGCTTGGCGGCTGAGGAGCCTGGCTTGGTGGCTGAGGGCGGGCTTTGTGACAACCTGGCGGGCCCGCTGTGGAGGTTTGAGTGCTGGAACCTGGCTTTTCCTGCATTTTCCACCTTCTGCCTGCTTGCCTGACCCTGCTCAGTTCTACTTCCATGTCTCCTGCAGTCTTCTTTTCCTTGCTCCGGAGTCAGCAGCCGAGGCGCAACTCAGGGCCAGGTGTCTTGGATCACCAAGTATTAAGCACTCGCCTCACAGAATCCCTGACAGGATTAAATGAGTTCGATGGTCAGCAATGCATAACTACAATCAAGCCCCTGGTAATTCTTTTTAAAAAGTCGTTCTTCCCCATTTCTCCCTTGGCCTCTTTTCCTTCCCTACAAGTGTACCCACTGTGTGGGTGGACTTTGTTAATCTTGTATTTTTAGATAGTGGTTCAGATTGCCAAGACTGAGGTTTAAACTCTACCATTTCCTAGCTGTGGAAATTTCACAAGCTATTTAACCGTTCAACCACTCTGTCTCCCACTGTGGCCTTGTGAAATGGGAATAACAATAATTCAATATGTGTTAATTGTTAAAATCAGAATTTTCCCACTTTTTGTATCTTATTTCTCACCCTAAATTTAACAAATTGTGAAAGCATTACTTTCTTGTGAGTTTCAAAAATTTATTATTTTTTAAAATAATGAATACATGAATGATCAAGGTGGGAAGAATCGAGGTTTAGGGAAAATTGGGTGAATTCATTGCTTCCAAATTTGCTATTTCTTCTTGTTCCTGGGGCAAGGGGAGAAACAAAGGGGAATACCACTCATGACTTTCTACACATCCCAGGTGATTTTTTTTTTTCATCTCAGTCTCTTCCCATTCTTTTTAAATCTCTTCTGTCATTCCATTCTTGTCTCACCTTCAAATTTATATGAAAACATTACTGTTGTTCCGCATAAGCCTTCAAAAATGTGGATTTCGATAACTGCTGTTTCATTTTAGGTTTTTTCTTTTTTTTTCCGTCAGCAGTCCACAGAGATGTTTCCATAAATGGGATAGCAAAATGGCCGCAACAGCCAGAGCTGAGCACATGTGAAGCTGAGGAACCTCAGTATCAAAATCCCAACCATTTGTACATGGCTCATTGCTACTAAGAAACTGTGTGAGCTTGCAGGCCACATGGCCTACATGACCTTTTAGCAGCCCATGCGACCTTTAGCACTGATGAGCCCCAATTCTCTTAAATCAAGGCCCACCTAAGTCTGGTTATCTCACCAGGTGGCTCCAAGTAATTAAGTGGGTGCTTCCCTTAGTTGCTGGAGGCATGAGCTGTCCAGCCCATATAGGTAGGGAATGTGTGGCATTTCCCCTCACCTTGCAGGCTATTGTGAATTACCCCTATAAAAACCCTGTGAATGTGCTGTTCAGGGCTGCAGTCAGTAAAGGGTGTTAGTCCTGGTTGGTTGGTCTGCTGGCTACCTGCTCTCAACCAAGAACCCAAGCTCGGACATGCTGAGCTTGAATAAACGATCCTTGTGCACTTGGATCAACTTCAGACTCCTGGTGATTTTTGAGGATCTCAAAATCTTGGCACAACAAAGCCAGGAGCCAGAACTTTTCTCTGGGTCTCCCACGTGGGTGCAGGGTCCCAAGGTTTTAGGCTGTCCATATTGCTTTCCCAGGCCACAAGCAGCGAGCTGGAAGGGAAGTGGAACAGCTGGGACACAAACCAGTGCCCATTTGGATGCTGTCTGTATAGGCAGATGATTAGCTAGCTACATCACCACACCAGCCCCACAGTTTTGAATCTTAAATAAATTTTAGAAGATTTTATTTATTTGAAAAACAGAGTTACAGAGAGAAAGAGGGAGAAACAGATCTCCCTTCACTGATTCACTCCCCAAATGGCTGCAATGATTAGAACTGGATCAGTCCAAAGCCAGGAGCCAGGAGCATCTTCTGGTATTCCCACATGGGTACAGGGGCCCAAGCACTTGGGCCATCTCACACTTCCTCAGGCACATCGATTGGAAGGTGGATAGAAAGTGGGACAACCGGGACATAAACTGGCACCCATTTAGGAGGTCAGGATTGCAAGTGCCACAGCGCTGGTCCCATTCTTCTTACTGCCTAACAGGATTGCATCCTGGACCATCAGCATGTCATACTGGCCGCCTAGAGCTCACCTTATGTCCCCTGGACTATGGCCTTCTTAACTGTGAGGCATAAGGAAGAGCTAACCAGGGCCCCCAGTGGCTTATTATTCATAAATCACAGAATGAAGTAATATTTAGACTAATGCATTTATTGTGTCTGTTTATTGGTCCAAAATAAACAAATCTTGGTGGGAGAGACAAAAAAGATTGAATTGCCTGAATTCTCCTCCTGGCAAGCCGTGTCTGCAAATGCATTTGATCAATTGAAAATGGCTTTTTTCCTCCTCCTCTGGAGAGTACTAAAAGTACTTAACATTAAGTATTTATAAAGTTTATAGCTTTATATGGACTGATGTTGAATTCTAAATGTAAAAGGGCAGATACCACTATCTAATTTGTGGTTAAGCGTAATTCCACAAGGGACACACTATCTAGCAGAAGCAGCAGATCTGGCAGCCTGGAGCCAATTCTGGGTTTCAATCACATCTCTGAGTGGTACCAGCTGACTGTGTTTGGCAGCTAGCTTCAGCTCTGGCCATTGAAAACCCTATTTTGGCATTGCAGTAAAGATTTAAGCACTCCGTGAATGGTAATTCCATTCTCTGGGTGTTATACATAAAGAGTTAAGGGGAACTCTCAGGCAATGTTAATTGCCTTCTAGTTCTAACTCCCTTGATGATAGAGATAGGGACTTGAATATAACCAGAATTTTATACAAAGGAAGATTTCATTTAGTTGGCTCTTTATCTGATTATATGGGATTCTTTCACCAGCCACAACCTCCCCCTAAGAATTGTTGAGGGTTGTAGTATTTGATTTTCTAAGTTAACACTCCAGTCAACAATACCAATAGTACAAGAGGTCTATACTTCTCTATGAACGTATTACTGCATCTTATACCAGAGTGCTGAGTTTGATCCCAGCTACTTTGCTTCTAATCCAACTTCCTGCTAATGTGTACTCTGAGATGCCTCCCAGAGGATTGCTTGAGGACTTGGGTTCCTGGCATCCATGTGGGGGACCAAGACACAGGTCCAGACTTGGTTTCAGCCTGACCAAACCCTATGCTGTGAGGACATTTGAGGAATAAAATGGTGAAGAGAAATTTCTGTATTTCTCTGCCTTTCAAACAAAAATGAAAATGTGTATTTTTTTAAAAAAGGATTATATTCTCAACTAAAGTACCATCCAGAAATTCAGGTGAATCTGCTGTTAGGAAGCCACAAGCCTGCAGCAATTCCAACAGGTACAAGCACACCAAGTGGATTGATCAGGGCAAACTTCATTTATCAAGAAAGCAAAATAGCTTATTATAAGAGAAGAAAATTATGGTAATTCAAATATAAATTTCTTTTAAAAAATATTTGACTTGAAAATTGAGTTAGAGAGAGGGAAAAATAGAGAAATCTTCTATCTTCTGGTTCATTCCCCAAATAGTTGCAGAACAGGACCAGCCCAAAGCTAGAGTCAGAAGCTTTTTCTGGGTCTCCCTTGTGGGTGCAGGGGCCCATAGCCCTGGGCCATGCTGTACTGCCTCACCAGGCTATAGCATGGACTAGAACTGATGTCCTCTGGGACACTGGTACCACAGATGTAAGATTAGCATGCTAGACCACTGCACTGGCCCTGTGTGTGAATTTCTTCACAGCCTCCCTTTGAAGCTTTTAGTTGCTTTACCTCTTTTACGTAGCAGTGTGCTGTGAATGCCAGTATCTGTCGCCTGTCCTGTAATAACTTGAATTTTTCCCCGTCTCTCATCTGTACAATTGGGAATAGTTAGCTCAAAGTGAATGACTAGTTCTGAGCAGAAAGGCAGTGTAATATAGGTGCTAAGAATGTAGATTTTGCCTGTAGACTGTTTGGATATAAATCTGAGTCTTGTCTCCTCCTAGTTATATGTAATACTAAGGATGCCACATCCTGTGTTTTATAACAGGGATGAATGAAAACCTATTTACTATGCTTTAAAAATGGTAAATAAGCTGTCCCACCACCAAAAAGCATTCCTTTTATAAGCATTTTTTTCTAAAGTAATTAAACATATGTGAATGCTCTATTAATGACAAGCATATGGTCACCTCATTCCCTCTAAAGTTGTAAACCTGTTTAGGAAAGTTCTAAAAATTCTGGAATGTGTTGATACGGAATGCTGTCACTAGCTGACAATGCATGCACAGTGATGTAATGACTTAGCTAACTGGATGTAGCCAAACAGAAGAGGGCTGGTGTCACTGTAAACGCGTGGGTCATGCATGGGCACCCAGAGTACTGAGCTTCCCCAATCCACATGAGGCCACCAGCAAGCCTTGGTGCACACTGGTCAGCCCTGCCACCTTTTTAAAAAGGTTTATTTTTATTTTTGAAAGGAAGGAGGGCAGAGAAAGCCAAGCTGATCTGAAGCTGGGAAGCATGAGCTTCTTTCATGCCTCCCATGTGGGTGCAGAGGCCCAAGGGACTTGGCCATCTTATCCTATTAACTTTCAACCACCTCCAAATGACCTCTACTATCAAGTTGTGTGTGAATGCTATGAATAAAGTTGTTATACTGTATGGTCTGTGGAATTGTGATCATAAGTCTCTAATTGTTTAATATAGATGTGAACCATCCTCCGCTGCTTTCCTAGGCCTTAAGCAGAAAGTTGGATTGGAAGTAGAGCAACCAGGACATGAACATAGTACCCAAGTGGGA